AGGCATAGATGATGCTACCTCCAGGAGAGCAACTCATTTCGTCTTCTAGGACTAACTTTTCCGCTGACATGAAGTGGAATAATTCGATTGAATTAATTGCTAGCTCTACTGCATGGTGCAACGTTGAAGAGATAGACTACTGTGAAGAAGTGTTGCATATATATATATATATATATATATATATATATATATATATATATATATATATATGAGATAACTATATATAAACTTTTATATATCAAGAAAAATATTAGGGAAATGTTAGAAAATGAGTCTGACCACAATTTTGACATAAAAAAAATGCTACTCTGATCAAACGAGAAAACAATTCAACTACAACGAAAATGTTTAGAATTCTTTGACCCCAAAGTTATCCACAGTAAATTTGCGCCAAGGTTCTTCAAACATTTTCACCATTCCTGGCAAAAGTGATGAAAGCAAAAAAAAAAAATAAATTACTCTAAATGAAATCGGTTAGATTATAAAAAAAAATTAATTTAATTTTAAAATTCCCAGCATCTCTCGTTCATTTAACCCTATCTATCTGTTGGTAATCCCAAAGGAGGATGTAATCTAGAGAGCTCAATGTGAAACCAGAGCGAATATTAATTTAATTAAGATTAAAAAAACAGACAACCTTAAGGGTTTATTTATTATATTTTATTTAATTGTTTGGGTGTGCACAACTTCCTTTGTATAATAACATTTTATGAACTCCACTGCAGCTTCAGTAGTGTTGTATGGGTTATACGTATACATACATACACACACACACACACACACACACACACACACACACACACACACATATATATATATATATATATATATATATATATATATATATATATTAATTTAATTAAATTTAAAAAACAGACAACCTTAAGGGCCCATTGATTATATTTTATTTCCCCAGGAAGGTGATTTTTTCCTGTTTTCTCAGATCACATTTCCAAGCAAAAAAAAAACTTTATGCTTGGAAATGTGATATGAGGAACCTGAAGATTCGTTTAGGTGAAACTGAGGTAGTTTTGCCTGGCTCATTAGGATTTATTCTAGTATATATATATATATATATATATATATATATATATATATATATATATATATATATATATATATCCCATATAACACTATTTAGGCTGCAGTAGAGTTCATAAAATGTTATTATACAAAGGAAGTCATGCACACCCGACCAATTCTACTGAAGGATTAAACCGTTGAAACATAAAAAATGACATTCAGAACGGAGCTGCTATATAGAATCTAATGATCTATCTATCTATCTATCTATCTATCTATGCTATTATATTCATCTCTATGTATCTATGTATCTATCTATCTATCCTATTATATTCATATCTATGTATCTATCTATGTATCTATCTATCTATCCTATTATATTCATATCTATGTATCTATCTATCCTATTATATTCATATCTATCTATCTATCTATCTATCTATCTATCTATCTATCTATCTATCTCATTCTGTTCATATCTATCTATCTATCTATCTATCTATCTATCTATCTATCTCATTCTGTTCATATCTGTTCATATCTATCTATCTATGCTGTTATATTGATAGCTATGTATCTATCTATCCTATTATATTCATATCTATCTATCTATCTATCTATCTATCTATCTATCTATCTATCTATCTATCTATCTATCTCATTCTGTTCATATCTATCTATCTATCTCATTCTGTTCATATCTATCTATCTATCTATCTATCTATCTATCTATCTATCTATCTATCTATCTCATTCTGTTCATATCTATCTATCTATCTATCTATCTATCTATCTATCTATCTATCTATCTATCTCTTATTAATATAAACATATTTTTAGTGGGTACACGTGTTTGAGTTGCTATTCTTGTCTTTTAATTTAAGCAGTGAAGAACCGGCCTAGATTGCGAAGCCGTTGTAAAGAAATATTGTGTCTTTGTCAGGAATCGAACTTTTATTCCCCATTTGAAGCAGCCCCCCACTCACTTTTACAGCCGAAATCTAGACCGGTTGTTATTAATTAGACTGTTCTAGAAATTTTTTAAAAAAAGAAAAAAAAAGAAAAGAAAAAACGGGGATAGCAACTGAAACACGTCCCCCACCAAAAAAATAATGTCTGTAGCAATTAGAAATAATATCGGATAAAAAAAAATTAACAAATTAGTATCTTAAATTATATTCTACATGAATACAAAAGTATGTACTGCATGCATATTGATATCTAAATGATGTCTTACTCGAGGGAGAGAAAGAAAAATAAAATAGGGAGAAGGATGAGATGATGTTGACAAGGGAGGGGGAAGAGAGGAAGAGAAAGCGTTCACCTTAATTGATCGCCTTTATGGCTAGGCAAAGAGTTTATTATGAAGATGACTGTAACATTTGATTGAATAAGTTTTCAGACGGACTGAGAACGGAAGAAATATATTTCAATCGAAATTGAAAATGCAAAACTAAGCGAGCGACCAAGAGCGAGAGAGGGAAAGAGAGAGAGAGAGGTAGAGAGGGGGTGAATGAGTCAGAGTGAGAGAGGACAGTGATAAAGAAAGCGAGAGTCGAAAAAATGAATGAAAGTGATAAAGAAAGGATAGAGATAAGTAAATGTTAAATAAAAAAGTACATCACTATTTAGAAATTAGACTAAAATTCCTTTGTTTAAACACGCACACACACATGCACAAACATATATATTATAATATAGTTTATATATATATATATATATATGTGTGTGTGTGTGTGTGTGTATGTATGTATTTATACTATAAGCAAGAGGAGGACAACAACACTCAGAAAACGGTCTGCCTGCCTTATGTGAAGAAGTTATCAGAGAAAATACAAAGGATCTGCGGTTCATATAAAAGTTGGACGACACTTCGCAGATATCTCTCCCGAGTAATACCCACCTCCATAGAGGAGAACATGACTAAAGACTGTGTGTACACTATCCCGTGCAGCTGCGGAAAGAAATATAAAGGGGAAACAGGCTGCCCCCTTAAAGTAAGGTTTCAAGAACACCAGATATCTGCAACACAAGGGGAAGTGGAAAAATCAGGCGTGGCTGACCACTTATGGAGAGAAAAGGGAGATCACCGCTCTCTGTGGGATCAGGTTGAGATCATAGACAAAGAACACCATTGGAAAATTCATAATCTTAAGGAATCAGCACATATGCTAGGCCACAAAAATTTCCTGAGCCGACCAAGCGTAGAAATGAATACAATATGGGAACCAGTAATAAGGAGTGCCAGAGAAAAGCGATAATAACAACAAAAATTGCAATATGAGCTCTGCTAAAAAATGTGGCTGATGACATTAGGTTTACAATATCCAGACATTCATACACAGATGCCCTCAAGGACACATAGCACAGTGGATAAAGGCGTTGGTTAGATCCAGTGACAGGACCCAAAGAGTTGTGAGTTCAATACCCGGTTAAGGGAAATTAACAGGAGATAACTGAAAACTGGCATCCATTAAACATGGCATGTGGAACTAGAAAACTCTACCCCAGTGAGCGAAATAAAGGTGTTAAATCGACATTCCAACCACCTGAATAAGGTCGGAGCGTACAATGGCCGAAACGTTGTAATAAATATCGCGAAAAAGACGAGGACAATAGTCCGAATAATGTAAATAGTGGATACATGTATATTTGTATTTATATTATATGACACTTTTTAGTGGTTATTTTTAGTTATATATATATATATATATATATATATATATATATATATATATATATATATATATATAAATATATATATATAGTGGTTATTTTAGTTTACACACACACACACACACACACACACACACACACACACACACATATATAAATGTATATATAAACTAAAATAAATATATATATATATATATATATATATATATATATATATATATATATATATGTAAACTAAAAAAATAACCACTAAAAAGTGTCATACAAAGTATATATATATATAAATATAAAAGTGAACATAGAAGTCAACACTTAGAGGCGACAGTCTGTTTTATGCTATATGCAATATATATGTGATAATCCTAAGGAACCAGGCAAACCTACCTAGGTTTCACCTAAACGTATCGTCCGGGCGAAGCTGGCTTCCTCCTGACGATCCGTTTAGGTGAAACCTAGGTAGGTTTGCCTGGCTGCTTAGGATTATCTTAATTTTTGCTGTACTTCGTGCATTGAGCACTCTATGTAGTTGCCTTTTTTACACGTTTTGGAGTTTTTTTTTCTTTGGACTTTGAGCTTGAACTCTGGACGATTGTTTTCCTTTAGTTTAATGTTCTTGGTTCTTTCTTTTTTATTCCTCATTTTCCTTCGGTACCGATTTGTTTTATTACAAGTCGAACGATCCAAGTTTTTTCAACCATTTACATATATATATATATATATATATATATATATATATATGTGTGTGTGTGTGTGTGTGTGTGTGTGTGTGTGTGTGTGTGTGTGTGTGTGTAAACTAGAAATAACCACTAAAAAGTGTCTTATAAAGTCTTGCATTAATTTTGGTGGGGGCGGGTGGTGCCAATTTTGGCGGGGAAAGACAACAAATGGCGATTTGTTTAATGGGTTTGACCGTAAGACTATCGAGTAAAGTAAAGGTTATATTTTGCTAACCTCAATTCGGTTACCACCCAATGAATTAGTCTCCCGTTTAAGAAGTTCTTTACCTAGTTTGCCTCAAATTATCGTCTGTTTCCATGCGATAATTGTGTATTTTTCTTATTTAAAAATCGTCATTTTCATCATTCTTAATTTCAAAGTATTTTCTAGCCCATTCTCACATTTTGAATTTTTCTGTGTCAAATTCTTTCTTTCTTTCTATCTTTTTTTCTTTCTTTCTATATTTTTGTTTAAAATTCTCTCTCTTTTAATTTCAATCGTAACTTTTACTTTTCCCATGTATCGACTAGTGCTTTTATTTTCAATTTAAAATATGAAAATCCAATTTATTTTCAATTTAAAATATGAAAATCCAATTCATTGGCGCCATATACATTCCTTTCTTTTATATAGATTTTTTCTTTCTGGTTTTCATTATTTTATTTTTCGCCGACTTTTTCTCCTTATAATTTTTTTCTTCTGATTTCTTTCACTTTTCTTGGTCCTTTTTTTCTTTTTCTATCTAGGCTAAACAATCGTTTTTTTCTTTCTTTGTGATTCATATTATTTTTTTCATTCATTTATTATTTTTCTTTCTTTCTTTTTCTTTTTCTTTCTTTCTTGGCTACACAATTGTTATTTCTTTTTCTTTCTTTGTCATTCATATTATTTTTTCATTCATTTATCATTTTTCTTTCTTTCTTCTTTCTTTCTTTCTTTTACACATTCTCTTTTGTTTTTGTCTTTCTCCGCCTTTTATGCATTTCTCTTTTTACTTCATCTGCCCCACCACCATTATTTATTATTATTATTATTATTATTATTATTATTATCGTTTCTGTGTAACATTTTTCATTTCTTCTTCTCCCTTTTTTCTTATGTTCTTTTTCTTTCTTTCTTTCTTTCTTTCTTTCTTTCTCTTCATTTATAAGATTTTCTTATCCTCCCCTTTTCTACCAATGTGTTAACTTTTCCTTTCCCCACTATCATTATCTGATGTTTTCCGAATGTTTGCTTCCTAATTCCAAATCTTCAATTTGTCCATTTTCTTTTTGTCATCTCTCTCCAAATAGCCATTAACACCAGTTTTATTTTTTAATCTGTATTCGTCTCCTCCTTACATATTTTATGATCCGATTCGCCATATCATTTTTTTTTAAGTTCTTTTCATTTGTCCTGAATGCAGTTTTCATTTGCTTCTTTCTCCGTCCATTTTCCTTCTCATGTTTAACATTCTTCTCTCCCTACCCACCCGATCTTTCTCAAGTTCCCTCCCATCTGCTTACCGCTGTTTCACGAGAGAGACATTAAAATCTCAGTCCTGTTGGCGAATCTTTATCTTTCCGCCAAGCTCATTAATTTCTGGTTGGAATTCCGAATTCGACCAACAAATTAAGGAAGCAGTTTTGCATTTTCCCCGTTTCACTTCGATTTTTCATTCTTAAGTCATTAAAATGGTTTCCGTCACGAAGAAACGTTGACAAAATGGCATAGGAGGGAGGGATAAAGAGAAAGAGATTTAGGAAGGGCGATGACATGAGAAAAGTACAGCTTGCCAAAGGTGCAAGAATATCTTGTAACGCGATCTTCTCATGGGAAACAAGAAAATTTTAAATCTACTCTAATTGGGAAGGATATTCTTATTAGAGAGAGTAGCAAATGCAAAACAATACTTAATGTTCTAAGGCGTTATGATTGAACTGCTGAACATTCAGGCTAAAATATTTTTCAGCATTTAATCGCTAAAAGCAAACTAAATTATAGAAACGTAGCAATAGATTGATTAACCCACTATCACTGTTCTATACAATATATCTTTTCGTTCATTTTGCTTATATTTTCGTTGCTCACGTGTTCTACACATTGTATTCTCATCATAAGTTTATAGAAATACATCTCTGTCGCTCCCAGTCTCTCCTTCATCTGTAAGGAAATTGTCTAGCATCTAGTGTCATAAAGGAGGGTATATATGACATAGCTGTTTAGCACTCTTTTGTATCAGAAAGAAACAGTTGACACTTTTGGGATATATTTTGTTTTGTTTTTTTATGAGAAGTGTTTCTAATATCTTTTAAAAATATTCTATTAGAAGCACCTCTCATTAAAAAAAAAAAAACAACAACAAAAGTACAACAACTGATCTTCCCTTAATAGCATCTAATCTAAACGGGGTCCAAACCACTTGGTGATGTTTAGAAACGAAAAAAAAATCACTAACAATGGAATAACTACTACTACTACAAAAAAATACCTCTCAAACAAGAAAACAAAACAAAAAATATATTAACAATCCTCATTATCACAAAAATTAACTCCACCCCTTGAAAATGGATAAAGTAATTTCCAAAAGTGCTCAGAACATGATTGAAAATTTCTCCCAAGACTTAATCAAAAAAAAAAAAAAATCAGGGACACAAGAAAAATTGAATAAAAACTTACAAAATATTCCTTGTCAGCCATATTTAAGGAAACATGCGCGCGCGCGCGCACGCACACATACATACATACATACATACATACATACATACATACATACATACATACATACATACATACATACATACATACATACATACATACATACATACATACATACATACATACATACATACATACATACATACGTGGAGGCACGGTGGAGTAATGGATAGCGGCTTGGATTGAGTAATCGGAGAGCCGAGTTCGAATTCCTGTCGAATCCATTACATTCACTTACGTGCCTTGGGAAAGGTATGAATCCTCTCTCCAGCAAGACAGACTGGGTTCTATAGTCTTGGATGGCAACTGGTCTAGGAGAAAGAAAATTCAGAACTTGCGGATGGTCGTTTGTGGACCTTGTGGCACGTAATGCACCAGATCTCTGTATTCGGACCTTCAAAAAGTGTGGATGGTTCTGCACATAATCAAATCTCATGTGCTGGTGTCGGGGAAATGATCTGCTTGGCCCTCATATGTCGAATTCGACGGGATATATATATATATATATATATATATAGATAATAGACTCGTTTCGAAAAACCCTCGAATTTTTGATTTGCTAATCAAATCAATCTCGAGGGAAAAAAGGTTTTAAAAAAAGAAAGAGCTACAAACATGAACTTCTGCCGACAAAAAAATCGCACAGATGCAGGTCTGAAGCTCAAAGAAAAAACCCCGATACGAGTAACAACTAACTAACAAAAGAGCTCAATACAACCGTAGAGCAGACCTAGCCAAACTTTCCCTGACGATCCGTTTAGGTGAAACCTAGGTAGGTTTGTCTGGCTCACTAGGTATATATATATATATATATCTTTATCTTTTATTTTCATTTACTAAGTACTTTCGATCATCTTCAGGGGTGCAAGTAGTACAAAACTATATGTTGTTCATTAATACAAGTATTTATACAAAGTTGTACGTTGTTATTCATCACCGTAACTTTTTTTCATTATGCTTTAAATGCAAAACGGTTGACAATGTGCTGAACGTTCATTAGAACTTGCAAACTTGAAGACGATCTTGGAAGAAGATCGAAAGTACTTGGGAATGAAAATAAGGAAATTTAAGCAGCCCTAATGTCCCCAGGAAATATGATATATAATACATGTTCAACTGAAAAATCCTTTGGTTCCCTGAAAGATTATGATTTCACTTCGGGAGTCATGCGTGGAGATGTTTTGTAGAACTTATAGGCGTAGTAAGCCCAAGAAGTTATAAGTTGAGGTACCGTACCTAATATGTATATAGGAGAGAAAGCTATTAATTTCTCAGAATGACATGTAACACTTTCTCAGATCAAAGGGCAACATTTCAAATACAAGGAAAGACGGTGTATACATTATGAGAAAAACAAGAGAGATTAAGAAATTAGTTCAAATAAAGCAATATACAGGGTGAGATGGGTAAATTGCCGCCTTTTTATATTTTTGATTTCGCGCATGCGCGCTATTTGTTTTTGATTTTGTTGACTTCACAGTATAGTAGGATCAGCTGGGCATCGTTTGTGAGAAAAAGAACACCATGACGCAATTCACTCTACCAGAAATTTAGAAACGGCATCTTTACTGCTTGATATTCGCACCGGAAGTTCCAATACGAACATTTTAGAATGTTTGGGTGTCAATCTGAGGACAGTGCAGAGGATTCGGAAAGAGTTGGATGAGTTTAATGACGATTACGAAGGTACAGCAGCTCAGAAAACTCACTCTGATCTTTCTGATAAGAAAAGAACTCTCGAATTTGTTGGTGTGGGCCTCAGTCTCAGCACGGAGTGCCTTGAGGAGGTAGGTCATGAGGGTGGCTACTGGAAGACCCTATGTCTGGTAACATGACTCTGCACCATGCCACACAATTTAAAGAAACCTAGTTATGGCTGTCAGATAATTTCTGCAACCACATCACCCCTTAGATCTGGCCACCTAACTGCCCAGACTGCAACGCCCTTGGCTATTATATATGTTAGACGCAGTTGAGCCAGCGACCAACAAAACTCCTTGTAACACCAAAGTTGAACTGAAGGCAAGGATTATGGCAGCATTCACCAACTTAAGCAAGGAAGCTGTCCAGAAGATTTGCAGGAGATTCCGAAGTCGTCTGGAGGCTGTGGTTGAAGCCAATGGCGATTTGATTGAATAAACTTACATTTTAGTATATCTAGATATTTTGGGGGTAATTGCCGTAAATATAACTGTTAAAATGACATGTCCGTGTTATTTTCACTTTTGCGTAATTTCGGCGACAATTTATCCATCGCATCCTATATAATGATTAGAACACCACCTTTTATTGATGACTGAGTCATTTTCTACGGTTTATCAACCCGTTGCAGTTTATTTAAAGCCAGAAAATATTTTTAGATAGGTGGAATTTCTTTTTGAGATAATAATGGTTTAGTGGCAGTGATTAATCTATAGCTAGGGAGAGAAGATTGTTATGGTGAGCTATCTACATTAGAATGATCTCTTCCTCCTTCATAAATACTAACTTGCAAGACTTCCTAAGCAGGCAGTTGACACGGAGTTCCTGACTGTGTGCAACTCCTGTCGAACTCTCTGCTTTGGCAGAGAGGAACCCGGACGAGGCTTTGCCGAAGGGCAAGGTTTCACCCAGAGAGGCAGACAGGCCCTGAACCCGTCTAGGCGGGTTCAAAGGGAATATTTTTGGCCGAGCCTATGGACTCGGAGAAACGTACGTTAAACTCGGCCTTGTGCCACATAAGTCCCACGTGGCGGGGACTGTTAAATATTGGCAGCCGAAACGAAGTGTAACCTGACAGTTCGGATAGACACTTCTATCTGCTGACTAATAACACTCTTATTTTGTATATATGTTCTGTTATTTCAATACACTTTTTCAACCTACCTTCTTCTTTCCGTGTCTTTCTTTCTGGCCCCTAACAAGCAAAAACAAAGAGGAACACCTCATTCTAAAAGATCAAAACGAAAAATCGATATGTTTAGAAAATTTAGTGAATTTGATCTTCTTCTTCTTCTTCTTCTTCTTCTTCTTCTTCTTCTTCTATATGCCACAACCGTTCAGGGTATAGGTGATCATGGCTCTCCATGGCTTTGATACCCAGGCCTTCAAAATGTTGAGTGTATTTTCAAAATGACATAATATCAAGTGATCCTTCAACACTTTCCTATTTACATTATTTGATTGATTAAAACCCTTTTTTATGGCTTATCAACCCTTTACAGGTTTGTTTGCATTATTCCATTTAATCAAAATTAAGATTTATTCCGGAATAATATTTGTGTAATCAAGCTGACGGCAGAGTGTAATGCAAACACAGACTTACTGATCCCCTTATCAACAGTTTCAGCTACCCACAGTCAATATGTGAAATAAACAATTCATAACTTTTACTTTATGGATTTATATCTCAAGAGTAATGGCGTTGGTAATTCGGACATAACCAAAATAAGATCCTGAAAATGCTTCATTTAAATGAAAAGGTGAAAGTTCACGATTTACGAAGAAAATAAAATCTTATATGCGCAGATCATTGCTAAGACCGACAATAAGAATGTATCTTCTATTCGTCACATAAATGTTATTACAGAATATATTGTTCTGTCGTTCTTACTAGTCCTCGTTTTTAAGTAATGCGATTAATTAATAAATCAAACTTTATCTCCTATATGTAAAGGATAAACAATCTACAAGGAATGTTCTGAAAATAACGTCTCTTATTTTATAGTGTCAGCCCACACATGAACTCACACTCTCTGGGTCCTGTCACTAGATCTAACCAACACCTTTATCCACTATGCCATGTGTCCTTGAGGACATTTGTGTATGAATTTCTGGGTATTATAAACCTAATG